AACATATTAAGGGTTTGTTGTGAATGTGTGCATATTTGAAAGGAGGAGAGTCAGAGCCAAAAACTGGGAGAAAAACGAAAACATGAGGAATAAAGTCCTCTGCTCCTAAGTAAGTTGAATAAAATTTCATACCCAGTTGAAGTTATATGCATAATAATTTAAATGAGGGAAAGTTTAAGATCAACATGTGTCCAAACAATATACATTTGTTGTGTTGCCCAGGATATTTTAAATTTGTAAACATTTTCTTGAGGCTAGATATGAATGTGTCAATGACTGATCAGTTTGGGTAAAGGTTTCAGTTGGCCTTGTATTCAGAATTTTTTTAAAAAATGAGAATGCTTGCTAATCTATAGAACTATTTAATAATTCCACCTTTCTTGCAATGTGAAATTACAAGCAGATGTTGTGTGTATTATAACAATATTCATGTGAGGCAGACTGATCAAGTACTGTGCTTTTAATCTAAAGCTTTTGTTATATTCTTATCTCTATAATAGTGGAGATTTAATCCCCTTTTCTATGGAAAAGCCAAGCTCTTTAAGCCAAATGTTTCCTAGAAATGAATGTCAGTACCTCTGTCTGATTAATATGGCCAGATGAGAAAATTATGATAGGACTTATACAACTTACTAAACACATCATTTTCATTAGCTTTTACTTCTTCCAAAAATTAGAAGTTCTGTTTGCATTTTTCTTTGGGTCCTTTTCCTATGTACTTTCATCGTTTCAGGACACTTTCTCATGCTTTCTCATGCTATTGGGCAAATGCCTCTCAGCTTCAAGACTTATCAGGAGGGGTATAACCATTAGGGCTGTGCAAAATTATTGTTGGTCCTCATAAATCAGATCAAATCTGTTAAATACATACTTAAGATGTGATACCCATTACGTGGATGTGGCCAATGCCGAAAACTTAAGAATTGAAACTTACCCAATAGTTTTTCATTTGAAAACGAAGTTCAACAGGGACAAATGCAAGATACTCCACCTTGGCAGAAAAAACGAAATGCAAAGATATAGAATGGGGGACGCCTGGCTTAAGAGCAGTACGTGTGAAAAAGATCTTGGAGTCCTCGTGGACAACAAGTTAAACATGAGCCAACAATGTGATGTGGCGGCAAAAAAAGCCAATGGGATTTTGGCCTGCATCAATAGGAGCATAGTGTCTAGATCTAGGGAAGTCATGCTACCCCTCTATTCCGCTTTGGTTAGACCACACCTGGAATATTGTGTCCAGTTCTGGGCACCACAATTCAAGAGAGATATTGACAAGCTGGAATGTGTCCAGAGGAGGGCAGCTAAAATGATCAAGGGTCTGGAGAACAAGCCCTATGAGGAGCAGCTTAAGGAGCTAGGCATGTTTAGCTTGAAGAAGAGAAGGCTGAGAGGAGATATGATAGCCATGTATAAATATATGAGAGGAAGCCAGAGGGAGGAGGGAGCAAGGTTATTTTCTGCTTCCTTGGAGACTAGGACACGAAACAATGGCTTCAAACTACAAGAGAGGAGATTCCATCTGAACATGAGGAAGAACTTCCTGACTGTGGGAGCCATTCAGCAGTGGAACTCTCTGCCCCGGATTGTGGTGGAGGCTCCTTCTTTGGAAGCTTTTAAACAGAGGCTGGATGGCCATCTGTCAGTGGTGATTTGAGTTCAATATTCCTGCTTCTTGGCAGGGGGTTGGGCTGGATGGCCCATGAGGTCTCTTCCAACTCTTTGATCATATGATTCTATGAATTTTGTAAACCTCTGAAGCCTCCCAAAGTCAGTTTCATTTTCAGTACAAGCAAGCAAAGCAAAACCAAAAAAGCTGTCATCCCTCTTTAAATTAATGGCTTCTTGTCATTAGGAGACAGAAGCAGCAGGGAGAAAGCAGAGTTTGTTGGGAAAGAGACTGAGAAAGGACAGAATTCTGGGAAATGTAGTTTGGGAAGGCAAAGAGCCCTGTGACAGAGAATTCAAAAGGCCCTTTCCTAAACTACATTTCCCAGAATTCTGCTAAGCATCAGAAAGCCCAAATCAGAAGAGGGGAGCAATTTGTTCCTTTGTAGCAACAGCCAGCCAGAGTGCCATTAAATTGTTGAATCTGCAAAGAGGAGGACTAAAATTCAATTTCTGGGAAGTCCCTAAATGGAAGCTCTATTGATTAATATGAGAGACATTTAATGAGATAGCTGTTCTGACTTTTAAAAAAATGTTTTTATCAAAACCTTTTTTTAGAAAATCCTAAAACCAGTAGATGTATGAATATTTCTGAAAGTTGGGGGGAATGATCCCCTGTTATCTTATGTCATTGTACAGAAAATTCAAGGAGAAAGCTCTTGGAGTTTTTTTAAAAAATGTTGTGTATAAAATTTTTGAAAATTCACCAAAGATCCATGGATAAGTGAAACATACTGAAACTTGATGGGCTAAAAGTGGTAAATGTGTTCTACCACTGTTGCAAGTTTGACTCCAATAACTGTAAAACTGGAGGAGAAAGGAGCCTCTGAAGTTTCCCCATTTATGCAATTACTATAACAAAAAAGTAACAAAATTTCATTACTCTCATTATAATAATGAACTTTTCATTAAACTTTAGAAACACTTTAGAAATGAAATGCTGATGCCGCTAATTTTTTAATGAGTTTTGCAACATGTTTTTCATCGATCACGCAACCTTGATAGTCACTGATGGTGGAACAAAATGATGACATTGCACTCCCCGTGAAATATTGTTGTAGTCCCATAATTTCTATCATTGCAGAGTGTGAGACATTGAAAATTGTTCACATCCAGGATTTTTTTTCTCAAAACAAGTCATGAAATGTGAATAATCTTGACATAAACCCTCTCTCTTGAGCAAATAAGGCAAGATTTACATTCTTTTTTTAAAAAATAAGATTTTATTAATCAGTTTAAAACATAACATGGAAAGAGGGGAAATATTCAGGAAGAAGATAGAAAAGTAGGAAATACAATAAGTAAAAACAAACACCAAAAAAGAAAAAAAGAAAAAAAACACAACAATACAAAAATACAAAAATCAAAAATCAAAATAAAATAAAATGACTTCCATTCCAATCTCCATTCCAATCTCTTATGCACCTAGATAACAGTGTATTTGGGGGGGGGGGCATTTCCTTCGGGCCCCTGTGGTGCTCTCACGTGATTCACAGCAATAAAGGATGGAAGAATGGAAAAGTTCAGGCAAATGTTACATTAATCCTACTATATTCTTGGCTTTTACCTTGTCACTTGTACATTAGTAAGGCTGGAGGAAATAGAACCATTACCCCTCCACTTATCAGGTTTGATGTTTGTGAATTTGCTTATTTTCAGATTTAATTAAAATGTTTTCTTTAAGAATAGCTGGGTCCTCCAGTGCAACTCGATGGTCAATTTCCACTGGAGGTTGTCCATTGAATTGCAGTAGAGAAACTCACTGTAGCAGACACGTAGCCAGGATTTTGATTGGGAGGGCTGAGTTTAATCTGGGGGGGCAGAGTTTGATTGGGGGGCTGAGTTTGATTCAGGGGGATGATTTTGATTCGGGGGGCTGAGTTTGATTCGGGGAGGGGGGGCTAGCACACCTTTTGTATTATTATCCCAATACCCCCATGCATATGGGATATATTGAGCATGGTGATCAGATCATGATATGAATAAACATAACAGTTCAAATAATGTACCAGTAAGACCTTCTCACGGACTACCCTGAGAATTTGGGGGCTGAAGCCCCTCAAGCCCCCCCCCCCCCAGGCTACAGGCCTGCACTGTAGAAATCTTTAGGTCCTCCTGCTGAAGTTAAACATAAGACTTATGGGTTCCTACAGAAGGGCTCTTTTAGGTTTTTGAAAATGATTTTCTACATTTTTTCCCACATTCACTGGGTTCCTGTGTCCGTAACCCCAGTGAATATGGAGTTCTGATTGTACTCATAAAGAAATAATGAAGAGAAGAGTTGAACTAAAGAGAAGATAATACTGTAATGACTCTCACAAAATTGGTTTGGATTAAAAGTCCAATAGTAGTACTGAGATGAACACATCCATTGTATGTTTTAATTAACTCACTGAGTGCAATAGAACTTAATTCATCACAAGCATTCATATCTGAAATTTAGATTTTTTTCCCAGATTTGGTATTTGCATGCGTATAATAAAATGGAACCTAAGCCTAAACAAAATATTCATTTATGTTTAATACTAGCCGTTCCCTGCCACGCGTTGCTGTAGTCCACTCTGGTGGTCATGGGGGTTCTATGTGAGATGTTTGGCCCATTTCATTGGTGGGGTTCAGAATGCTCTCTGACTGTAGGTGAACTACAAATCCCAGCAACTACAACTCCCAAATGTCAAGATTCTATTTTTCCCAAACTCCATCTGTGTTCATATTTGGGCGTGTTGAGTATTTGTGCCAAGTTTGGTCCAGATCCATCATTGTTTGAGTCCACAGTGCTCTCTGGATGTAGGTGAACTACAACTCCAAAACCAAAGGACACTGCCCACCAAACCCTTCCAGTATTTTCTGTTGGTCATGAGAGAACTGTGTGCCAAGTTTGGTTCAATTCCATTGTTGGTGGGGTTCAGAATGCTCTTTGATTGTAGGTGAACTATAAATCCCAGCAACTACAACTCCCAAATGACAAAATCAATTTTTTGAGTGAAAGACATACATTGGGTTGTTAGGTGTCTTGTGTCCAAATTTGGTGTCAATTCGCCCAGTGGTTTTTGAGTTCTGTTAATCCCACAAACGAACATTACATTTTTATTTATATAGATACACCTTAAATGCATAGCCTGAAATACAATATTGTGTATGCTAAACCATCCAAATGCAAAGGTGCCACCATCTCAGCTACTCATGTGAACAATTTTGGATTTTGAAGTATTTTGGATTTCAAATTCTAGATAAGGAATCCTCAACCTGCATGACACTATTCATTCTACTGAAATTTTCTGAAACATTTGCATATTTAGCATGTCTTTTCCCCTTCTCTCTTCTCATTGATACAGAAATCTTGAATGGAGGAGTGTATGTTGGCCAGAACAGGTTTCTCTGCCATGCAGACACTATCCAGTGGGAAGATATTGTCCGTAACCCTTTAGCTTCCAACTTCTCTGTTGTTCCAAAAAACAGCAGTGCTGATTGTAAGTATTTGCTTTATGCTCCACTCTGAAACTTTGTTATCAGATGAATTTGGATTTTTCTTTCCTTTTCTGAATACTACTACTACTATAACATTTATGTCAGCAACTGTGCTTCTGAAACATTTATAATTGTATAATTCCAATACTATTTGTTTCCAGGTGTGTTTGATTTAATTTACAATATTCGTACTTCTTTTCCTGCATGTTATCCAAGGCATCTTTTGAGCCTGACAGAAAATAAAATGTGAAACCCATAACAGATCTCTGCCAATTAAAAAAAGTATTCTTTAAGCAATCTGTTGTAAAAAAATGAGCTATATAAAGGAAATAAATGGTTCTGAAAGCAGGGAATCGAATAATACAGGGTGTTCTGGAACAGCTGTTCTAGGAGCTCCCGATTTATTTGCTGTGTTTAAATGTTTGTGTGCAATCCCTGCTTGGGATTTTGCAGCAGGGGGTTTCATTATAATTTGCATTTATAGGGTAAGCCACCTGCCAATTATAGTTAGGATCCCTGGTCCCGCCCCCTTTTTGCTTTTTGGAGGGAAGGGGCCATTTTTCAGTTAGTCACAGCAAGGGAAACCAAGGCAGAGGATGCGTACATACGTTCCTCCTGTGCAAAGGCTTTGTCTTTTAAGACTTCCTGGGGGAGAACAGATTAAAGGCCTCTACAGATTCCCAAAGGGTTCCAGGAAACAGCTTCACAGCCCTGAGGACCTCTGGAGGGAATAACAGCTCTTCATTTTCAGCTAAGTGATTTCAAGCCTGGTGGGATGTCTGTTTGGTTCTAAGACGCAGTTCAGCCGGCAGCAGACTCAAACCAGTCAGGGTTAAGTTCACAGCAGCCTGGGAGGAGCTTTAAAGGGGAATTTTTCTGTTGAACAAAGTTTATTGAAGATAGTGCCTGTTTCCTGTAAACAAGACTGCAAAAGCCAATAGACTATTTAGAAATCTTACAATTCCTGCTTGTTCATTAATAAAGATTGTTGCATTTCAGCTTAAATCTCCTAAAGCCTGTTTAATAGGGAAAATTCCTCTAAAGGTTCTTTCTCGGGCCCCCGGGATTCCCGCTGGACGCAAACCTTGCATCCTCTCTTAGAAGCATTTAATTTCAGCTCCATCGGTGACAGAACACAGGGCAATCATTTATTGCTTCATTCAAAGACTTGCCAGATTGCAGAGGGAGAGAAGAAGGTTTCACCAGGATGTTCAGCCCAATATTGCCAATTTCCACTATGCCAACAACATCTCAGGTGCTGCTTGCTTAGAATAGGAGGTAACCGCTTTCCAGGAATATAAAATAAAGCAACAGGGATTGTGGAGTCCTCCAGATACTGATAGGTATCTGGAGGACTCCACATCACTCCTAGCTAGCCTTGCAAAGAGTGAGGTGTGATGGGAGCTGCAATATAACAACCTTTGGAGACCCAATCTTGCAGTAGAAATACAGCTATATCAAAGCCTTTGATATAGGGCTGGTCCATCAGTTCACAAAGAGTCAGAAACAACTGAACGAATAAACAACAGCAAAGCCTTTGTTTCAAATCATGTCTACTTTTATGTGGTGTAGAGTAGAAAATTGTCAGGTTTTACAATGTATTGTAATGTAATATAGCAGAGTCATGCACTGCTAATAGGCTTCTATTGAGAATGCTGAGTCATGCATTAACTGTATATAGGGAATCATTTGGGGAATGTGTTCTGGCCTAGTCCAGAGTGATTGTGAATGATGTAATCCTGGGTCTGAGTTAAGTTAATGAGTTGGAAACCAATCAGAGATTGCTATGTGTAATTGTATAGAATTGTATATAAGGAAGTCATGTAGAGTGTATACTCTCTCCTTGTGCTGTGATGCTGTTGGTCAAAGGCTCTATGTAATTTATTAAAAGAACCTGTCTGCTAAAACAAGATATAACAGTGTGCTGTGGTAATTTTTTAGTATCATCTAGATTGGAGGGGAAAACAATAGTAAAACTGACAATGGCTGGGCATTGACTGTGCAGGAAGAAGCTACTGGAAAGCGCTGAAGTTGTGCTACTGATCTGCTGCTGAATTGTGAAATTAATCTCAACAAAAATAGTTTTCCTCAGGCTATCTATGCTATTTAAATAAAACATATTCAGCTTACGAGACCTATATTTGATCCCAGTCAAAGAAATCACCAGTGAAATGTAACAACAATTTCCTTGCATTGGCTGACAGAAAATGAAGTGTGACTAATCCCATTCTTAAAGCCAACTTTTACCTGGTATAGCATTGCTAACACAGCTCCAAATTGGAAACTACACACTGAGAAGGTGTCAAATGGAACAGTAAGATGCTGAACACATTATTATTGCAGAGTTAGGTTAAATTGTGTCCTTTTATTAGGGCACATTCAATTAACATTTTAAATGTATGCTTGGGAAGTAAGGAAAAAGCACTTTCACAGACAGGTGGTCCTTGCATAGACCCCCAATCATTGTGACAGGTGTCAGCGAACAATGCCAATAATAGAAGCCATTATTTCACAAAACAAAGGCAAGAATAAGGACAGTATCTTACATAACCTCTATTGCACAGAGAATGCCTCAAGTGCTCACAAAATAATGTTTTAACTGGCATAAGTGTTTTCTCAGCTGGGAAGAATATCAACTCAATGCCGAGCATAAAACCCAGGTGCCCCCTCAAGTTGTTAACAGCTTTGAAGATACAAACATATTTGCATTTCCTGCAATTAAAGATTATGAATGGAAGGTATAATTTGCTTGAGAAAAAAAATGCCAATTGTAAGTTAGGGGTGAAGGTAAGGGTGGGAAAATGTAGCAACAACAATATTTTGGTTTTATTTTTTTACAAGAATTCTACTTTTTGTCAAGTGCTAGAGAATGAAAGAGAAAAATAGGAGGCACAGTAGACTTGGAGTGTTCTGGTATTTCAGACATGGAATTTAGTAGTCCCATGAAAGCATTTTATGTGAGAAAACAGCAGAAAAGGGGGAAAATAGTTCTGTTTTCTGAAGTACCACTTGATGTAAAGGGCTGCCAAAAGAAGGATTTAAGCTTCTGAAAAATAGCCTATGGTGTTAAGCATTTGGCTGGAAGAAAGCTGCATTTTTCAGTGTTTTCCGAAGACCAATCTGGTCTAGGTCAGAGATGAAACCCATGGAGCCATGATGGCCATTTGTTTTAGCCCCTCGGGTTTTTGCCTTTCTAGCTGCTGAAATCACCACCACTGCATACTTAGCCTGAGCAAAAACACCCAAATTGGATTCATTCCAGTGACTTCTGCACTTATCCAACTTTTCCAAAATATTTCTAAGACAACATCCAACAAGGACTTTCTTTCCCTTCACTGCATTTGAAACTTGTGATCTGTTGTGTGCTCTCACAGGACTCCAAGGGGACAATTTTATCATCCTCTTGCACCACACTATAGATAATGAATTTCTGGATGGCAGTGGCAGCACATTTTTGTATGCTTCATAACCTTTTTCCTTATTTTGGAAAAATCTCATATTATTGCACTTAGGTGCATAGACATACCAGCTGCTCTATATTTATTTATTTTCCATATTTATATACTGCCTTTCTCAACCCGAGGGCGACTCAGGGCGGTTTACAAACGGTACAATTTGATGCCCCCAATAACAAAAAGAATTAAAAACATTTAGCATAAACAACATCAGATAAAATAGTAAAAACCAATAAAAACATAGATCCTCTGCATCTCATTACTAAAATCGTTATCCAATTGCATTGTCCAGTCCGGTTTGAAGAGTTGTGTAAATTTGTGGAAATAATATTGCATTTAAACACATTAGCAAAGCAAAGTGATTGACATCTTATATTTATAAGTATACTAGCCGTCCCCTGCCACGCGTTGCTGTGGCTCACATGTGGGTTATGTGTGGGAGGTTTGGCTCAATTCTATCGTTGGTGGGGTCCAGAATGCTCTGTGATTGTAGGTGAACTATAAATTCCAGCAACTACAACTCCCAAATGTCAAGATTCTATTTTCCCCAAACTCCACCAGTTTTCACATTGGAGCATATGGAATATTCATGTAGAGTTAGGTCCAGATCCATCATTGTTTGAGTGCACAGTGATCTCTGGATGGAGGTGAACTACAACTCCAAAACCAAAGGATACTGCCCACCAAACCCTTCAAGTATTTTCTGTTGGTCATGGGAGAACTGTGTGCCAAGTTTGGTTCAATTCCATCATTGTGGAGTTCAGAATGCTCTTTGATTGTAGGTGAACTATAAATCCCAGCAACTACAACTCCCAAATGACAAAATCATTTTTTGAGTGAAGGACATACATTGGGTTGTTAGGTGTCTTGTGTCCAAATTTAGTGTCAATTTGTCCAGTGGTTTTTGAGTTCTGTTATTCATAGAATCACAGAATCAAAGAGTTGGAAGAGACCTCATGGGCCATCCAGTCCAACCCTCTGCCAAGAAGCAGGAATATGCATTCAAATCACCCCTGACAGATGGCCATCCAGCCTCTGTTTAAAAGCTTCCAAAGAAGGAGCCTCCACCACACTCCGGGGCAGAGAGTTCCACTGCTGAACGGCTCTCACAGTCAGGAAGTTCTTCCCCGTGTTCAGATGGAATCTCCTCTCTTGTAGTTTGAAGCCATTGTTCCGCATCCTAGTCTCCAAGGAAGCAGAAAACAAGCTTGCTCCCTCCTCCCTGTGGCTTCCTCTCACATATTTATACATGGCTATCATATCTCCTCTCAGCCTTCTCTTCTTCAGGCTAAACATGCCCAGCTCCTTGAGCTGCTCCTCATAGGGCTTGTTCTCCAGACCCTTGATCATTTATTCCCACAAATGAACATTACATTTTTATTTATATGTGTTCTATAGAACATAGAAAAACTTTTTTATCCAGATCCTGAATTCTAGCATTGTAATTTTGGAAGGATCTTTTTTTTTTTTTTGCCTTCTACCAATAGAAAAGGTAAGGGGACAGTATGCATCAAATTTTGGACTAAGAGCAGGTGTAAAATTTACTA